CTTGTTATCCTCTTAATTTTTTTTTGGGGGGGGGGCTCCCCCTTAAAATTCCTGCCAAGACCTAAAGGGCCTGGGATTACTTTTAGGGGGGACCCCTTTTTTTGTTTTGTTACTCGCGGGTGGTCCCTACTAACATTCCACATTCTCCAACACCTCCCCCTCCACATCCTCATCTCTCCTTCTAGAAAACAATTTGGAATAAAAATCCCGCACCTCACCCCTCACTACCCGACACCCTCCCACATTCATCACCCGGCTCAAACCATCCTCCCTCCCATAAATATTTTTGGAAAACATTTTTGGACAACTCTCATCCTCCTCTCTCGGCATCCGATGTGCTGGTGACACAATATTCCTCCCAACTTCAACCAAAAACATTTGTAACCTTTCCTTTGCTTCCGCTATCTCATTCTCCACGTCCTCTCCTCGGCCACCACTCACACTCCTCCCCCTCCTCCATATCCACCAATCAAAATCAAACTCTCATTCATTCTCCTCTCCCACTTCCCAAACATACTCACATATTCTTCCTGAATCTTCTCATCCTCTAGCAAAGTCACAGCCATGTTCCACCCTCCCTTGCCGTACTCACTCTCTCCCCCCCCCAGACTCACAACACCCTCCGACCCCCAGACTCACAACACCCTCCGACCCCCAGACTCACAACACCCTCCGACCCCCCCCCAGACTGACATCACCAATCAATGTCATGGGCCCTGTGAGAAGGTCCAACAATTTTCACTGTCACCGGGCACCATTCCTCTCACAGACACCCCGCCAGGTAGCCTCATCCAAATCAGGAGGGACTGGGCCCTACAAGATCCAGGACACCAGGGAAGTACTCTCACCCGAGCAGGTACCATTTTTGGTCTCCTTCCCACAGTCAGGACCCTTTACAACCCCCATCATCTCAGGCAGGATACTCTGCAGCCATTCCTACCATAAGGCCAGAACAGCAGCACATTTCCCCGCCAGGGATCAGGTCCCTATATACGGAGCTTAGGGTGACGGGAGGACGCTAGGTTGTGTCCTCCCGTTACCCTAAGGAGAACTATGGGCAAAAAGCCCTGACCCCGTAGTTCTCCTTTAAGGATAATATTTCTAATTTGCATATCATTATAATATATGGTAATGAGGGGAAGCCTTTCCTACTCCTTTATTTCTGCCCTGAACAGACACTGCGCCCCCTACAGGCGCTGGCAGCACATAGACACCCCCGGCTGTGTTCGCTGATGCAGGGAATGTTTTTACTGCGGCTGTGTCGGGAACACTCCAATCATTACAAAGTAGAAATATTCGAGTTCCGTTTACTAAACACATTGTAATACTCTGGCCGGTATTTTAGGGGTTTTTCCGCTCAGGAGCCGAACGGAAGGACCGGTGCACGAGCCGAAGTCACAGCTGGAGCATCTCTATAGGTCAGGAACCGCCCCGCGTTACTTCACAATATCGGACATTGTGGAACAATATCGCCGGAAAATCCCCCGAAAGCTGGAAAATCAATGTTCCCGGTGCGGAAATCAGAGACATGTCACGGACCCAATTCACACAGCTACCACACCAGGATAAGGATCCCCCCCGTCTGAGCTCCTCCCCCATGTCTGAGCTCCACCCATCTATCTGGACTCTGATCACATGACCCATTTATGACCTCACAGGGCTTATGGCTCACCTCTGACACTGTACCTGCTGCAAGGGTTAAGATCTGCTGGCACAAGCCATGACCTCTTATGGCATCAAAAGGGTTTTAGGCTCACCGTGATGTCATCAGGTGGGTGTGGCTTGTGCAAGTAGATTCCCTCACTGGTAGCACCTGCAGTGACATAGACAGGTGGGCGGAGCAGAGCAGTTATGCAAATATCAAAATGATCCCGGGGGCAATGTTTATATCCACTGATCCCGGGGGCATTGTTTATATCCACTGAGTGTGGGTATACCCGCTGATCCGGGGGCATTGTATACGCCCACTGATCCCAGTGCAATGTTTACACTCACTGATCCCGGGGCATTGCTTATACTCACTGATCCCGAGGCATTGTTTACATCCGCTGATCCCGGGGCATTGTTGACAGACGCTGATCCGGAGGCATTGTTTACACTCACTGATCCCGAGGCATTGTTGACAGTAGCTGATCCCGGGGTATTGTTTACACTCACTGATCACGGGGCATTGTTGACACCCGCTGATCCGGAGGCATTGTTTACACTGATCCCGGGCATTGTTTACACTCACTGATCCCGGGGCATTGTTTACATCCGCTGATCCCAGTGCAATGTTTACACTCACTGATCCGGAGGCATTGTTTACACTCACTGATCCCGAGGCATTGTTGACAGTAGCTGATCCCGGGGTATTGTTTACACTCACTGATCACGGGGCATTGTTGACACCCGCTGATCCGGAGGCATTGTTTACACTGATCCCGGGCATTGTTTACACTCACTGATCCCGGGGCATTGTTTACACTCACTGATCCCGGGGCATTGTTTACACTCACTGATCAGTGATCCCGGGGCATTGTTTACACTCATTGATCCCGGGGCATTGTTGACACCCGCTGATCAGTGATCCCGGGGCATTGTTGACACCCGCTGATCCCGGGGTATTGTTTACACTCACTGATCCCGAGGCATTGTTTACACTCACTGATCCCGAGCCATTGTTTACACTCACTCATCCCGGGGCATTGTTTACACTCACTGATCCCGGGGCATTGTTTACACTCACTGATCAGTGATCCCGGGGCATTGTTTACACTCACTGATCCCGGGGCATTGTTTACACTCACTGATCAGTGATCCCGGGGCATTGTTTACACTCATTGATCCCGGGGCATTGTTGACACCCGCTGATCAGTGATCCCGGGGCATTGTTGACACCCGCTGATCCCGGGGTATTGTTTACACTCACTGATCCCGAGGCATTGTTTACACTCACTGATCCCGAGGCATTGTTTACACTCACTGATCCCGAGGCATTGTTTACACTCACTGATCCCGGGCATTGTTTACACTCACTGATCCCGGGGCATTGTTTACACTCACTGATCCCGGGGCATTGTTTACACTCACTGATCCCGGGGCATTGTTTACACTCACTGATCCCGGGGCATTGTTTACACTCACTGATCCCGGGGCATTGTTTACACTCACTGATCCCGGGGCATTGTTTACACCCACTCATTGGGGGACCCGGGGATTTTGTTTTTTTGTGTAACTGACCCCCTGCTGGAGGATTGCGGTATCGCTCTTCCTCTAGCCCAATATAGACTTCAGTCACAGAGTTTCCCCCCGGGATTCGGATCTATTTCAGTCATGTGACTTCCAAATCTCATTGGATGCCGCAGAAAATCACTGTCCCTGTTCTAAAATAAGGATCCTTCTCCGGGTGTGTTAGTGAATGGGGCCGTAGGGGCCCCCCAATTCTCTGGGCCGGTAAATGATTTCTTAAAGATCCGGCGTTTCATTCCTTTCCTCGGTGAGTTCTTCTCTCACAAACGTAACCGAAACGGCGATTGGACAATAATATCTAAACAGCACCTTGTTGCCATGGTGATGAGGACAAGGGTCTCTTCCCCACAACCCTGGACCAGTGGTTGGGTGGGGTTTGCGGGTGCGGGAGTGGCTAATCGGAATATGAAAGCCCCTTTTAAGAATAAAGGGTCAAGGGTTACAAGGCGCGTGGTCTACACCGGAGACCTGACACCACCACCAGACTGACCAACCCTCCACCACCGGTCCCCGGACTGAGCCCGTTACTCAGCTCGCTCTCCCCTGCTACTGGCTGCACTCCGCCATCTCCCAGGTGACCCGTCCGCTGTATTCAGAGGACACTGGG